TTTATTTTTTTAATCTTTTTGGCTGCGTTGGGTCTTCGTTGCTGTGCTCGGCTTTCTCTAGTTGCGGCGAGTGGGGGCTACTCTTCGTTGCGGTGCGCGGGCTTCTCATTGTGGTGGCTTCTCTTGTTGCAGAGCACAGGCTCTAGGCGCGCGGACTTCAGTAGTTGTGGCGCACGGGCTTAGTTGCTCCGCGGCATGTGGGATTTTCCAGGACCAGGGATCGAACCCGTGTCTGCTGCATTGGCAGGCAGATTCTTAATCACTGCGCCACCAGGGACGTCCCTCCTCAAAAATTTCAACTAAAACACACACACACACACACAAAACGTCTCCCAGACACAATAAAACTGTCTAAAATGAAAAACAAAGGCAGGATGTTAAAAGCAGCAAGAAAAAATATCATTACCTACAAAGAAACTCTCATAAGGCTATCAGTGGATTTCTCAGCAGAAACCTTACAGGCCAGGGGAGAGTAAGATAATATATTCAAAGTGCTGAAAGAGAAAACTGCCAACCAAGAATACTTACCTGGAAAAGTTGTCCTTCGGAAATGAAGGAGAGATAAAGACTTTTCAAACAAACAAAAGGTGAGGGAATTTATCATCACTAGAACTGCCTTACAAGAAATGCTGAAAGGAGTTCTACAAGCTGAAATGAAAGGATGCTAACTAGTAACATGAAAAGATGAAAATATAAAACACACTGGTAAAGGTAAGCATATAGTCAAATACTCTAATACTATAATATAGTGGTGTGTTAATCACTTAACTCTAATATGAAGATGAAAGGACAAAAGTATCAAAATTAACAATAGCTAAAATAATTTGTTAATGGACACACAATATAAAGAGATGTTAATTGTGACATCAAAAATATAAAATGGGGGTGTACAAGGATAGTATTTGTAAGTGATTTGAAGTTAGCAACTTTACTGAATTTGTTTATCAGTTCTAACACTTTTCTGGTGGAGTCTTTAGGATTTTCTACATACAAGATCAAATCACGTTCAAACAGAGACCATTTTACTTCTTCCTTTCTGATTTGAATGACTTTTCTTTCTTTTTCTTGCATAATTGCTTTGGCTGGGACTTTCAGTACTATGTTAATAGGAGTGGTGAGAGTGAGCACCCTTGTCTTGTTTCTGATCTTAGAGGAAAAGCTTTCAACCTTTCATCATTCAGTATGACGTTAACAATGGGCTTGCCATATATGGCCTTTATTGTGTGGAGGTATGTTCTTTCTATGTGGGGTTATGCTGAGTTGAACATGATGGGGGTATACTATATCCAAATTCATATCATCACATGGATTTATTGTACCAAATTTCTCCTATTAAATCCCTTTCTACTTAATATGCCTTGAAAGGTTTCTGTTTTCTGCACTGAACCCTCTCCTATACAGATACACTAAAGGGAAACCCACAGCCACATGGACTGGCAGGGGAATAGAAGCCCCAGCTTCCTCACTTACAAAATAGGGGTCATAATCATACATGGCTTATTGAGTTGCTGGAAGATCTGCAATAAGACAGGTAAGGTGTCCAGTGGGGTAGCTTCAGAGTAGTTTTACAGCCTGCAGCTATACCCTAAGGAGGAGTGAGGTAGAAAGTCCTGTAATCAACTGAAACAAGGGAGCTGGGTGAGAAATGGTGTTGAAGCCGTCTCTGCAAGAGAAGGAGGTGGGTGAGAAAATGCCTCACGGCAGCTCTTTGCAACACTGCTTATCTCCTTTTGTTTCAGGAGGAATCACCAGTTCTGCTGTGGTTTGGGTCAGACCACAACTAAGTACTGCTTACGTGGCTCATGTGGAGATGTGCAAGGTTGTCATGGTGGAACCATTCCCCATAGTATCATCCCAGAGGTCATCTGCCAGATATTTCCAGAGGAGACGGCTAGTGGCCCCCACTAATGGGGCAACCTGGCATCAGGTACCTCCTGATGGGAAGCAATAAGGAAGATACACACAGGAAGGATTCTTGCAAAAAATAGTTAATCTGTATCTAATCAAGCCTTTAGAGCTAACTTCCAGTTTATAAGAACTACAGATGGTGGAAAAAGCTAAATGACACCATGAGGAAACAATCGGACAGATCCAGAATAGGGAACATTTTACAAGACAGCTGCCCTGGCCTCTTAAAAAATTCCACTCTTACAAGAGTGGGTGGGGCGGGGGTGGGGCTATTCTAGAACCGAAAAAAACTACTAGACCTAGAGATCAAATGCAGGTGAACCTTGATTGGATCCTGGTATAAAAAATAAACAACAGGACTTCCCTGGTGACGCAGTGGTTAAGAATCCACCTGCCGATGCAGGGGACAAGGGTTCGATCCCTGGTCCGGGAAGATCCCATATGCCACAGAGCAACTAAGCCCGTGCACCACAACTACTGAGCCTGCACTCTAGGGCCTGCGACCCACAACTACTGAAGCCCACGCGCCTAGAGCCTGCGCTCCGCAACAAGAGAAGCCACTGCAACGAGAAGCCCGCGCACCACAATGAAGAGTAGTCCCCGCTCACCGTAACTAGAGAAAGCCCACGCGCAGCAACGAAGACCCAACACAGCCAAAAATAAATAAATAAAAAATAAACTAAATTTAAAAAAAACAACAACAACAGAAAAAAGATTTTGGAGTATGATTTGGGAAATATGAATATGAGATGTTAGGCAATTCGTGTTAGTTTTTCTTAGGAGTGACAACTGTAGTGAAGAAACATGGCATTTTTGAAAGATACGTGCTTAAGTACTTATGAGTGAAGTTATCAGCATGTTTGGAAAGCACTTTTAAATGATTCAGGAGAAAATTACATGTACACATATACAAAGTAGATATGACATAATAGTAACAATTGTTAAAACTAGGTGGTGGGTATAAGGGCAATTATTGTACTATTTGTCCACTTTTTCTGTATGCTTGAAAATTTTCATAATAAAATGATAAAAGAGGGAATATATATATATATATATATATTTTAAAAATCCCTGTCCTCACAGAAATTACATTCTTGTGGTAGGGGGACAATTATCAAGGATGAATCAATAAAATACAGGAATATGTGTAAATACTTAAGAAACCAAAGGGGTGAGGGCTGCAAAGTGCGTGTGTGGAGTCGAATTGGTAGGTCAAGTGGCCAGGGAAGGGCACACTAAGTTGTATCTGGGGAAGAGCTTAACAAAGGAGGGAGTGAGCTGTGTGGCTAAGCCTCGCAGACAGAGCAAGCAGCAGCTGCACAGGCCTTGAGGCTGGAGCGAGCCTGATGCGTTGACCTTCTCATTGGCTCACAGGGTTCCTGTCACAATGAAGAGGTCAGCGTGGGAGAAACTGCATGAGCAAACGAGCAGTGGGAGAGCAAAGAGGAAATGGGAGAACCATATCAAATCCTTATCAAATCAAATAGACAAGATAAATGCTTCTAGATGTACAGGCTATCTCTGTAACTGCTAATGGTGGCAGCCTCTGGGCAGGACTGGGTGACTGGGGTCAAAGGAAGTCCTGTATCTTTTCACTGGACTTCCTGTTTCATTTGAAATTTTCACCATGTTTCTTTCCTACTCCTGACACATGCCAGAAGCTTCTGCAGTCCCTCAAAGCCCCTAAGCATGCACTAGGCTCCTTTCTACAGCGCCCCTCCCCATGGGCGGCCATTTCAGAAGAGCCCTCCCTAGGGCCATCTTCCCTCAATACAAGAATCATCATCTCTCTGCTCTTCTGAACATACTTCAGATAAGTTTGTTACACAACCATCTGAGTGGTCTTGAGGAAACACCAATTTGGCCACAACATGGTACCCTAGCTGGTCACACTGTGTCAGGAGTTCCCTGTTGACAAGTTTGCGGTGGATGATATTTTGTACTGTTATTGTGTGGCAATTCCTTTGGGGACATCAAGAAAGAACATTTCTTAACTTGGCCTACTTAAATGACTTCCAATTGTCACCACGACCAACATGATTAAGAGGAGGCCTAGAAAATAGGGAGAAATTACACATTGCACAGAAGACTGCTTATTAGATGATATTAAGAATGTATTAACTTTTAGATGTAATTATATGATTATGTTTAAAAGTAAACCTGTATCTTTTTTTAAAATTTCTTTTAATAAATTAAAATTAAAACCATCCAATCGGTAGTAGCGACGGGCGGTGTGTACAAAGGGCAGGGACTTAATCAACGCAAGATTATGACCCGCACTTACTGGGAATTCCTCGTTCATGGGGAATAATTGCAATCCCCGATCCCCATTACGAATGGGATTCAACAGGTTACCCGCGCCTGCCGGCGTAGGGTAGGCACACGCTGAGCCAGTCAGTGTAGCGCGCGTGCAGCCCCGGACATCTAAGGGCATCACAGACCTGTTATTGCTCAATCTCGGGTGGCTGAACGCCACTTGTCCCTCTAAGAAGTTGAAACCTGTATCTTGAAGAGATATATATACTTACTTATTTCTGGATAAAATATGATCTCCAGTATTTGCTTTAAAATTACCTAGAGGGGTAATTCCTTGGTGGTCCAGTGGTTAGGACTCAGCACTTTCACTGCCGAGGGCTCAGGTTCAATCCCTGGTTGGGGAACTAAGATTCCACAAGCCACGTGGCGTGGCCAAATAAATAAATAAGTAAAAATAAAATAAAATAAAATAACCTAGAGGGAGAGGGGTGCTCACTTGTTGATAATTGTTGAAGCTAGGTGATGGGTACATAGGAGTTTTTATTATACTATTTGCATGTGGTTCAAAACATAAGTTTTTAAAAAATTATACAGATAATAAAGGAGAACATACAGATACATTTTAGCACATACAGGAACATGAGGTTATTTTGTATAATCACTCACTCTATTGTCTGGTAAAGAAGAGGTGGTCAAAGTTTATTAAAAGAAAAATTTTTTAAAAGAAAAAAGAAAAAAAAAAACACCCTGAATTCAGTCTCTCTTACTGTCAAGGTACTGATTCCGCCCCAGCTTCTGGCCCCATCATCCAGCTCTTTTACACATACACAGCCTTACACTCTTCCAACGAGCATTTATTATTAGTTAAGCCATGATTCAGGACCCCAGGGTGGGGATCACTATGTACCCAGGTCCCCCTTCACCACCCTGGGGAGAAGGACGGAGGACAGAGAAGGTGGGGTGGAGCCAGTTCAGATCTTCCCAGGAAACGTGCCTTCTGCCCGGCGGTCGTCCCAGGCTGACACCTGTGGAAAGACAGGCAGTGTTACTCCCTTCCTCCACAGGGAAACCAGATGGGTAATTTCTTTGTCTTCCCCACTCTGCCTACCTGTTCAGTCAACAAGTAACCCCAGGACCTGCTATGTGCCAGTACTGGCAACTGTTCCAGGAGCCGGGGAACCAGTAGTGACCCAGAAGGACAAGAATCACTGTCCTGAATGAGCTGACATGAACTGACCCACTGAGGGGACAAGGGGTGGGGCGGGGGGTGGGGTGGTGGTGGAGGAATAATAACAGGCAGACTCACTGCAGAGCTGTCTGTGGGGAGATGTGTGTAAACACCTTCAAAAATGTGACCAGGCCCTGCTTCAGGAACCCCAGAGTCAACCCTCAATGATGCCTGTCAGAACAGAAGAAAGAAGGAATACTGGGCAGCTGTGGAAAAAAAAAGAGGCTATCCATGCTCCAGCACGAATGCACCTCTAATGATCAAATGCAAAATCAAGTGCAAAAAGGTCCAAACTGGCTACAGAGTGTGATCCTACTATTGCTCACAGATGTATGCATATATATACAAAACGATGGACAGGCCCATATCGAACTGTTAACACTCTCCCGAAGTAACACTCTGCAACTTGTGGACCCTCCTACAGGCAGTCAGAGCACATTTATTTTTATATATACACACACACATTCACATTTACATGCTATACATTAGAGGCAATGGATAAATGCATGGATAAGGAAGGCAATCTGAATCCCTGCTCCATCGCTTCCTAGCTGTAATTTCCTCATGCAAATTACTCAACCTTTCAGGGCCTCAGTTTCCAATTTTGTAAAATGAGATACTGATAACCTCCATCACACACCTCTTGCTTTCCATCCCAAGACTTCTCTTATGCCAGGTGCAATACACCAAGGGGAATATTGGTACTACCACATTGCAACCCAGAAGTAAGAGGGTCAATAATGCCATGGGCCCACCACCGACCAATAGATGACAGAAGCTAATGAATACATAGTTCCTTTTTTTTTTTTTTTTTTTTTTTTAGCATGTTTGCCCTTATATGATATAAAGCACTTACAAAGTAGCCGGCCCATAGCAAGTGCCTGTTTTATTTACACACATACACCACAAATCACAAATACTCTTTACTTAAATTGGGCCGTACTATACAGATTTTTTCCCCCATACTATACAGATTGTCCTGCAACTTGCTTTTTCCATGAGTCTTAGAGATCTTTCTGTATTCTGTCACATAGATCAAGATGAATATACCATCATATATAACTTGTTTCTGAACATTCCCCATTACAAACAACTCTGCAATGGCTGTCCTTGTATACAAACATTTTTATAGGATGTGTAGATGTGAAACTGCCACATCTAGAGTATGATTTTTTTCATTTTGAAAGATCCTGTCTCAGGATTGACCTTAACAGTGATTGGACCTGGGCTTCCCTGGTGGCGCAGTGGTTAAGAACCCACCTGCCAGTGCAGGGGATACAGGTTTGAGCCCTGGTCCAGGAAGATCCCACATGCCGCGGAGCAGCAAAGCCCGTGCGCCACAACTACTGAGCCTGCGCTCTGGAGTGGGCCAGCCACAACTACTGAGCCCACATGCCACAACTACTGAAGCCCACGCACCTAGAGCCTGTGCTCCACAATAAGAGAAGCCACTGCAATGAGAAGCCTACGCGCTGCAACGAAGAGTAGCCCCCGCTTGCCACAACTAGAGAAAGCCCGCGCACAGCAACAAAGACCCAATGCAACCAAAAATAAATAATAAATAAATTTTTAAAAAAGTGATTGGACCAATCTATAGAACCACCAACACTTAGTACTATCTTCCACTCCCCATCCCTTTTAAGTTAAAGGATCAGGCTGGTCTGATCCTTTGGCAAATTAGTCTTTGTCCAATAATCCCACTTCATGGAAAGGAAACTAAGGAAACCATTCAAATAGAAGGCAAAACATTTCCTGCAGTGGAATTGTACACTGCAGTATCATTTAAAATACTGAAAAATGACTGAGTCCAGCTAAAGGGGAAGGGATTATTTTTTAACTATTAAAGACAATGGCTACCCAATAATTGAGCAGGTTGTACTGACATGAAAATAGGTAAACAATGCAAGTAAAAAAGCCAAGGATAAACAGTATCTACAGTATGATCCAGATCTATATTTAAAAAGTACATAGGGACTTCCCTGGTGGCGCAGTGGTTAAGAATCCGCCTGCCAATGCAGGGGACATGGGTTTGATCCCTGGTCCGGGAAGATCCCACATGCCGTGGAGCAACTAAGCCCATGCGCCACAACTACTGAGCCTGTGCTCTAGAGCCCATGAGCCACAACTACTGAGTCTGTGTGCCTAGAGCTCATGCTCCGCAACAAGGGAAGCCACTGCAATGAGAAGCCCGTGCATCACAATGAAGAGTAGCCCCCGCTCGCTGCAACTAGAGAAAGCCCACGCGCAGCAACGAAGACCCAACGCAGCCAAAGATAAATAAATAAAATAAATTAAAAAGAAAAAGTACATAAACATACACCAACACCTACTCACACATTAGCACACAGAAAAGGAAGTGGAAGATTTACACCAAATTTCTAAGGGAAGTCAACTTTGGACTCAGAAGGGGGTGACTTAGGAGTTTTTCACTTTCTACATTATAAAAGTTTCACTTTGAAGGTTTACTGTATTTTTTATGAAGAAACTAAAGATTTTTTAAAATGGGAAAATAAAAGGGAGTTCCTTGGTGGCCTAGGGGTTAGGATTCAGGGCTTTCACTGCTGTGGCCCGGGTTCAATCCCTGGTCAGGGAACTGAGATCCTGAAAGCCTCGCAATGTGGGAAAAAAAAAAAGAAAGAAAGAAAAAGAAAAGATGATTGGAAAAAATGTTTTAAATGCTCATATAGGATAAGTGCTGGACTCCCAGCCCCACTCCTCCCCAAATACACATACTGGGATTAGAGACTAATTTTTAAAAATACACAGGAAACACCTGGAAGATGTTACACTATTATCAGCCAGGTCAGGAGGATGAGAAACAATTTTTTGCCCCTTCCTCTATTTCTTAAGTTTCTGTGAAGTGGTTATATTGCTTATAAAAAAACAAAAACGAACAACAGCAATAACAAAACACTTATTTTTACTTCACCAAATTTCTAGAATAAAGAAGCCAGGGCTGCTGGGTATAGAGGGTGTGTTCACATCCAGCCCTCAGAAGGCAGAGACAGCAGGCACCCGAGGGGAGGAACCACAGAATCTAATGCTCCCCAGGTAAGGGCAGGCCCAGGTCCCAAAGGCTGGGGTGTGGGGCAGCACCGGGACTGGAAGCGTGTTTCCTAGCACACTGTCCAGCACTCACCTAATGCAGGCCCTGAGGCTGGAGGGCGGATATTATGGGATCATGATGTCATGGTACCCAAGATCACTCAGGGACAAGGAGAAATCCTGGGAGGGGAGAGGGTACTCAGACACTTGAAAGTGTGGCCACAGAGGTGGGAGGCAAACCAAGCAAGCTGAGGAAGAGTGCATTAAGGCAATCTGTTCTCAAGAAACAAGTTCCAAAGATGTACATCAAAATTATAACACAATCTCCATCAAAGGGGACCAGTTAAATAAAAGCATTTGTAAGGTAAGGAATTCCCTGGCGGTCCAGTGGTTGAGACTCCGCACTTCCACTGCAGGGAGCACAGGTTCGATCCCTGGTTGGGGAACTAAGATCTCACATGCTGTGCAGCAGCCAAAAAATTTTAAAAAAGAAAAGAAAAAAACAAAAATGAATGAGGTAAATCTATACGCACTGTCATAAAAAAGGCTCAAGACACACTGATAAGTCAAAGCAAGTCACAGAACAGACTATATAGTATGACCCATGCATACACAGAAAGTTCCACAGGCTTATGTATGATAAATGTATATAGAGAAAGATGAATCGGTTAACAGTAGTTACCTCAGGGGAGGGGGACCGGGGAGCGAAAGTTGACGTCTACTTTTCATTTTACTGTACTGCTCAGTACTGTACTGTACTGTTTTATTTTTTAAAATGAGAACTATTAATTTTGTAATAATATATTTTAAGACATGATTTTTTTCATTTTAACATCTCTGAAAATAGCATGCTTATTACATCCATTTCTGGCATTTAAAAAAAAAAGATTTAAACATCTCTCAGTGTTTCTTGTAGTCGATGGCGTCTTTGACTTGACGCAATAAAGTAATATTTTATTTTAAAAAAGAGGGTATGGCAGAATATTAAATAGTAACAACGGGTCTGGTCAGATCAGGCCTAAAAGGTCTGCCTTATTGCATCCCTGTTTTTTAGAAATGCATGCGGAAGTAGGTAGGGGTGAAATGACATGTCTGGGATTTGCTTCAAAATACTTCAGCAAAGGAAAGAGGAAAAGGAAAAGGAAAAGGAAATGGAGGAAATTTCTGAAACTATTCAGTTTGGGTGATGGGTATATTTGAGGGGTCACTGAATTATTCTCTCTAATTTTATGTATATTTGGAAATGCTCATATGAAAAAAGGACAGGATTCCAAAAGATGGTGAGCTCCACAGGGACAGGGCATTTACTTGTAGAGTGTCTGGGTGAGACAGATCTGGTTGCCTTGGCTGAGAGCCTGGCTGGTTGAGAGAACCGGCGAAAGGAGGAAAGGGAGGTGATTCTAGGAAGAAGAAAAGGCCACATCCACGGCCAGTGTGATGCCTTGTCCTCCCTTTGCCTCTCACAAATGAGCTCCCATGAAGTCATCACACACCCCTCTGCTAGGACCCCACCCCCACCTCAGCACCCCAAGGGCCCCAGGAGGAGGCACATACCCAGGATATGGGGCAGAGGGACTTGTACACACGCCGGTACCATTCACACACAGAGACGTCACCCCCTTTAGCAGTCATTGCCTTCTCACAGCGGTGGAAGTCTGTGAAGAATGGGGATCAGGGTCAGCCCAGACCAAGGGCTGGAACACATTTTTGATCAAAACTCACAGAAATCGTTTTTACTTCACAACCAGTTACACAAATCCCCCCTACTCCCAAGTTTCACAAAGAAAGCATACCCTTACAAGTGTAGTACTCAAAAGGGCTAGACACACCTCACTAAGCTGATTTTGCAACCCCTAAAGAACGACAGTTCTACTTGAAAATTCTGGGGTCAGGAATGATAAGGCAACCTGAGAGGTGTGTGTGGGGATTATGGAAGTCCAGAACCAGGGCAGGGGAAGGGGACAGTGGTCTCGATGCTAAGATGCTGGCATCCTGGAGAGGAAGACAGGAGGGGGATAATCTGGTTTTTAATAGTAGGAAATTAATTCAAAAATTACTCCAAGTATTACACTCCTGGACACACTCCCTAGAGAGAAAAGCATTCACATGGACATCAAATTACATTTATAAGCATGTTTATAGCAGCACCATTCATAAGAGCCCCAAACTGGAAACAATGCAAGTGTCCATGAATAAAATGTGGGAAACTGTACAGCAATAAAAATGAGCAAAACACATGCCACAGCATGGATGAACCTTCAAAACTGTTGAATGAAGACATCCAAACATAAGACAACACATACAGTATTTATAAAGATCACAAAGAGGCAAACCTCACAGCGGTGATAAAACCAAAGTGCGACTGCCCTAAGTCTGTGGGGTTACATCTCTCCTGGGAAGAGTAGAGTGTTGTTTTCAAGACAGGGCGTGCAGTAGGCATGGGAACCCAGAGGGCTGGCAGTATCTAGTTTTCTATCCAGATTATAGTTACATGGGGGATGCACTTTAGAATTATTCATTTAGCTGTACATTATGTTTTATGTACTTCCTGTATGTATGTCACATTCCATAAATACACACACACACATCTTGGGGCGAAAAAAAATCACTGGGGGAACCAAAGTTTGTGACCCTGGGCCAGATCTTAAGCACAGGTGGTGATGAGGGGCACAGGCCCTGCGAGGTCAGATATCAGAATGAAAGAGAAGAGGGCTGGGATGCATAGGTCCCCTGCGAGGAGCCAAGAGGCAAGCGACTTGAGGTGTGCAGCCAGGGGAAGGTCAACACTGTGCCCTGCGCCCTCTGCCCCCCCATGTCCTGCTCACCCAGGTAGTTCTGCCAGCAGTTCCTCGTCTGGTTCTGGTTGGGGAAGCGGCTGTCAAAAGGAGCAGTCTGGTAGCTCTTGACTTTGGTCTTGATGTCCTCTGCCATAGTGCTGACTCCTGGAGGCAGAGAATGGGTGCTGGCAGGGGTTCTGGGGCTGGCAAGGGGCTGTCAGTCCAACCAGGCCCGGTGAGCAACAAGCCAACGCCCCTCCCTCTCAGTACACACAGAGGTGAAGGCAGGGCAAGAACACATTAAGGGTGCAAGTCACAGCAGGGTATCTGGGGGAGTCAACTCCTTGGTAAAATCAGGCTTTATTTGTCCCAACATAACACCAGCTGACATTCACTGAGTGCTTACTATAAGCAAGGAAGCTTTATTCCTACAGTCACTCTAAAAGGCAGAAACTGTTACTATCACTGCTTCACAGACAAGAGACAGGGTGTTTAAGCGACTTCCCAAGGTCATTCAGCACACATGTGGTGGAGTATCACTAACTTAACCTACACTGCAGAGGTTCTTAATGTCTACTGATGCCATGAACTCCTCAGGGGTCTAATGAACCCTTTCTCAGAATATGTTTAAATGCATTTGAAGGGGACTTCCCTGGTGGTCCAGTGGTTAAGAATCCGCCTTCCAATGCAGAGGACGGGGGTTCGATCCCTGGTCGGGGAACTAAGATCCCACCTGCCCCGGGGGCAACTAAGCCAGCACGCCACAACTAGAGAAGCCTGCGCACCTCAACGAAGATCCCACGTGCCGCAACTAAGACCCGACACAGCCAAAAAGAAAATAAATAAATAAAAACTTAGGAATGCATTTAAAAATTGCATAGGATCACAAAGAAAACCAGTTACTTGTAGCTGAGGATTTATTAGCTACCACAATTTCAAAATAATCATGCCTGAAAATGATATGTTGTGAAATCTGCAACCATAATGGTCTGTAAGATGACCTATGATTTTGATCGCTGACGAAGTCACAGATGATGCCAATACTACTAGGGCTATTGCCTCCATTCTTAACTGAAGGAAATGCTACATTTTAATTAGAAACTAGCAGAAGTACAGATGTAAATTTCCCCCCATTCAAGTACTAGCACCCCTTGAATTCTACAGATTCTGTGGACCCAGGGTTAAAAACCTGTGCTATAATCTCTCTTATGAGGTGACACAGTTTTCATCAGGGAATCCGAGCGAAACTGCCTCTATCAGATTATTCGAGGAGTCATGGGGTTACACAGAAGTAAGCAGACCAGTAATAAATTCAAGCGACCCAGGGTAGCGGTAAGGATCTGGGGCACCGGAGGAGAGTCTTTCCGGGAGCGGGGTGACGTGAACACCAGCCGCTGGGACACAGACGCGGTCGGAAGAGTTGTTTTGGAAGCGATCTCCACCCGCTTTCGGGAGTGAGGGTGGACTGCGGACGACGCTGCAGCCCCTCCAACGTCCAAGGGAGAGGAGGGACCAGACACCAGGAAGCCAGGCTGCGGCCTAGGCAAGCCTGGGGGGTCGGGGGTCGTGGGGGGAGGGACGCCTGCGGCCTGGTGACTAAGAGAACTGCAGTCCTGGTCGCTGGCTAAACTGCAGAATATCTGATCCTCAGTTGCCTGCCAGTCAAAAAAGGGATAATCGCAGGCCCTATCTCATTGGGCTGGAGGGAGGATTACATGAAGCAATATAAATCGCTTGGAATGTTCCTGGCATCGAAGAACTAAATAATCGTCAGCTACGATTACTAACTGAACAGCACCCCAGGGCTCCTGGAGGTCGGCCGCCGCCGGCCGGAAACCTTATCTCGTTCTCCGGGAAGCAAGGGTCGGGCTCCACAGTTCCCCAGGCTGGGGTTCCAGGGCCCCCGAGGCCCCCACACTCACCTAAAGATGCTCCTGAAGTCCCTGGAAGCTCAATGTGACCCTTAGCAATGACGCCAGCGTCGGACCGGAAGCGGAACGAAGACCGGCAGGAAGCGGGACGAGGCACCTCACTGAGCAGTCTTCCGCACGGCTA